GCGATCAGAAATTTCAGAGAGGCAAATACAGGCTTTGTCTATGGAAAAACTTCCTAGTATTCAGAGGTCTCTTAAGATGCAATGGGCTCCTCAGGAGATATTGGGTTCCCCTTCCCTTGAAGTCCTCAAGCAGTGACAGGTCGACCACTTGTCAGATACATTGTAAATCAGTGGTGTCAACTTCAATAGGAACAGGGCCACTAAACCATACTTAAGGATTCTTGGGCCACAGGTCGACTTAGAAAACTGCATATTAACATTATCTATGTTCTAATGTATTTTTATTTATTTTGTTAAATATTTTTCAATTACATTTTAATCTTGTTTGGTCTACATTTGGGAGTGTGTTTAATACTTGCATTGTAAAGAATATTCTTTTTCAAATCCAATTTAGGGTAGGTGGTGCCTAAGATCCCCTTTAGCTCCCAAATTCTGGGATGATACGAAGTTGTTGTTCAGTCATTTTCAGTCATGTCTGACTCTTTGTGACCCCATTTGGTGTTTTCTTGGCAAATATACTGGAGTGGTTTACCATTTCCTTCCAGCTCATTTTACAGATGAGGAAACTGAGGCAAATAGGGGTAAGTGACTTGCTCAGGGTCACACAGCTTAGTAAGTGTCTGGGGCCAGATTTGAACTCATGAGGAGTGGTCTGTATTCTCCGCACGACCTAATGCCCTGGTACAAAAGTAGCATGATAAAATAGAGTGAGCATTGGATTCAGAGTCAAGTGCACCTGGGTTTGGATACAGGATCTGCCTTTTAATGTCTTTGAGCAAAATACTTGACATTCTGGGCTTGTTACCTTGTCTATACAGTGTGAGGGACTAGATGATGCCTAAGGGTCCTTTTACACTCTAAATCCTGTGATTCTTGGGAAGGGAGAGAGGAGAAGGCATGCAAAATGCAGTGAGAAACTCAGAAGGAGCAGGGAAGCCTTCATGAGGAAGGTGGTACCTGAGGCAGACCTTTGAAAGAAGGGAAAATATCTACATTACCTGTGTTCTATTGTATTTTTATTTATTTTGCTAAATATTTTCCAATTACATTTTAGTTTTGTTTGGTCTATACTTGGGAGTGTGTTTCACATTTGTTGTGGTTTTAGAGGATAGTTTTTCTGAGTTGAGATAGGGGAAAAGGGAGTCCAGGCCAGGCTGAGAGTTGATATGAATAAAGACAAGAGAGGTAAGAGAGGGCAGGATAAGATTGGGGGAAAATAAAAGTGTTTTGGTTGGATGGACGAGAGAATACATGAAGGGTATTCATGTTATTTTCACAATAAGGCATCAGAAAATCCAACTGGAACCAAATTGTGGAGGACCCCAGAGACAGAACTAGAAACCATAGATGGAAATTACAGCAAAACAGATTTCAGCTTAATATGATGGGAAACTATATAAGAATTACAGTCGTCTCAGAGTTGAGTGGATGCCTCAGGAGGTAGTGGGCTTCCTGTCACTGCAGTTATTCAAGTGTAGAGGCTAGAAGATGACTTATTAGGTCTGTTGTAGAGTGGGTTCATATTCAGAGACAGGTTCAACCAGATGTCTGCAACTCGGAGACCTGATCCCATGACATCCTTGAATGCTTATCTAGTCGATCACTCAGCAAACATCTAATTATCTAATCCATGCCAGGCACTATTAGGCTCTGGAGATTGACATCGGATGAAGCATTCTCTGTCTTCGTAGAGCTGACATTCCATCAGCTAGGTGGTGGCCCAGTGGCTAGAGTCCTGCACCTGGAGTCAAGAAGACTTGAGTTCAAATGTGTCCTCAGACACTTAGTAGCTGTGTTACCCTGGCCAAGTCATTTAACTTTGGATTGCCTCATTTTTCTTAACTGTAAAATGGAGAAAATAATAGCCCTACCTCCCAGGGTTGTTAAGATCAAATGAGATAATATTGGTAAAGCACTTCATACACATAGCCTGGCACATAGTAGGTGCTTAATTTCCTTCCTTCCATTGGAGAAACATGTATATATGTGTGTATACACATGTGTACATATATACGTGTGTATGCATTGCATGAGTGTATACATATGTAGGTATATGTGTATATGTATATAAATGTATGTGGGTTATATGAATGCATGTATGCATTATGTATATGTATCCACACATACATGGGTATATGTGTCTATCTATACCCATACTCATACATATATGTGTTGTTTCCCCGATGGAAAGAAGGAAACATGTATCAAATACATGTACATACACATTGTATATGCATGCATATATATACTTACATGTACACATATGTAACACATATATACATATACGCAAGTATATGTATGTGTCTGCATATACACACATACATATACATATGTGTATGTGTATGTGTATGTATTACACATTTATAAATACAAAATTACATACAAAATCATCATGGAGCGCTTGAGCCTGGAAGGATGAGAAAGGCTTTATGTAGAAGGGGGCACGAGCTAAGTTTTGAAGAAAGCTAGAGATTCTAAGAGGCCAAGGTAGGGAGAGATTGTATTCCTGGTATAAAGGGCAGATTTGCAAAGGCGTAGAGGTGAAAGATGAAGTGACATGCTTGAGGGGTGCCAGGGGTCCATAGAGTGTGTGAAGGAGAAGGATGTGTAATAAATTCGGAGAGGCAAGTGGGAGTCAGATAGGGAGGGACATTAAATGTGAGACAGAAGGCTTTGAAGTTCATCCCAGAATCAATAGTCATCAGAGTTTCTAGAGCCTGCAGTGACTTGGTCAGACCTGTGCTTTAGCAGTATCACTTTGGCATTTGCTTGGAGGCTGGATTAGAGGAATGGACAAGGGGAGGGGGAAATGGAAGCGAGGAGAAGATTGCTAGGCAGGAAGCTCTTGCACCAGTCCAGGTGAGACCTGAGACCCACACTAGGGTAGTGGCCACAGGAGTGGAGAAAGAAGGAAGAAGGAGAAAAGTGATATGGAGGTAGATTTGATAAGGCTTAATTAAAGGATTCTTACACAAAAGCATCATGATGTGATGGCTAGAGATTGGCTTGGAGTCAAGAAGACTTGGATTTGAATCGTACCTATAACACTTACTAGCTATATAACTGGGCAGCTAGGTGGCACAGTAGATAGAGTGCCAGGCCTGGAATGAGGAAGAACTGAATTCAAATTTGACCTCAGATACTTACTAGCTGTATGACCCTGGGCAAGTCACTTGGCCCTGTTTGCCTCAGTTTCCTCATCTGTCAGATGAGCTGGAGAAGGAAATGGCAAACCATGCCAGTATCTTTGCCAAGAAAAGCCCAAATGAAGTCATGAAGAGTTGGACACCACTGAACAACAGTAACAAAGCTGTATAACCCCTGGCCCATTGCATGACCTTGCTAGGATTCAGTTTCCTAATTTGCAAAGTGGGAATGATACCTGTAATATTTCCTACACAAGGTGACAGCAAGGTTTACAGGGTGGTATGAGGCATGTAAAGAGCTTTACAAACCTCAAAGCATTGAACACGTCAGTTATAATTATTCTCTAGGCAATGGGGAGCATTTGAAGTTTTTAGAGTTGTAGTGGCAATTTAGAGGAGTCTGCAGAAAGCTTAGATAGGCAATACGTTAATCAACAAGCATTTACTATATGCCATGCACCATGCTAAATTCTGGGGATGCAAAGACAGGTAAAAATAGTCTCTGCTCTCAAGTAGCTCATAGGCTAATGGAGAAAAAAAAAAACTACCATGCAAATCGCCATGTGCATACAAGTTATATACAGGGAAAAAGGGGAGTGCTCTCAGAGGGAAGGCACTAGCAGAGGGAGGGAACTCTTGAAAATGGTGGAATTTGAGCTGATTCTTCAAGGAGGCATGGACGAAGAGTGAGGAAATTCCAGGCATGGGGGACAGACAGGGAAAAAAAGAGATGGGGAGCAAGAGTGTTTGAGGAACAGCAAGGAGGCCTGCGTCATTGCATCACAGAGAACATGGAGAGAAGTAAAAGGGAACAAGACGGGAAAGGCTGTTAAGGATTGTAAATATCAACAAGAGGATTTAATATTTGATCCTAGAAGTAACCGGCTGGGCACTGTATTCAAAGCTTGATGTCAGAAGATGTGGGCTCTGGAACTAGCTCTAATATTCACCAGTTGTGTGACCTTGGGAAAATCACTTCGTTTCTCTTTGGGTCTCTGTTTTCTCATCTATGTTGTTGTTGTTCAGTCATTTTTCAGTTGTGTCTGACTCTTTGTGACTCCTTTCAGGGTTTTCTTGGCAGAGATACTGGAGTGGTTTGCTATTTCCTTCTGCAGCTCATTTTACAGATGAGGAAACTGGGACAAACAGGGTTAAGTGACTTGTCCAGGGTCACGCAGCTAGTAAGTGAGGCTAGATTTGAACTAAGGAAGATCAATCTTCTTTACTCTAGGCCCAGCTCTCTATACACTGAGCTACCTAGCTGTTCTTCCCAAATAGAAACTCTCCCTTATAACAAATAAGTATAGCCTCACAAAACAAATTAACACATTTCCCATGTCTGAAAACACATATGCCTTACGTGTATTATATGTGTTATATGTATAATTGTTATTATAATACTATACTATGTTGTTTTTGTGGTTGTTATTCAGTTGTTTTAATATGTCTGACTCTTCATGATCCCATTTGGGGTTTTCTCGGCGTAGATACTGAACTGGTTTTCCACTTCCTTCTCCAGCTCATTTTACAGATGAGGAAACTGAGGGAAGCAGAGTCAAGTGACTTGCCCAGGGTCACACAGCTAGTAAGTGTTTGAGGCCAGATTTGAACTCAGGAAGATAAGTCTTACTGACTCCAGGCCCAGCACTCTATCTGCTGCACCACCTAGCTGCCCTCATCTATAAAATGGATTTAATTTTGCATGCACTGCACATGTGTGAGGATTGTTGTGAGGACTGAACTGTGAATCCTTCAGAAGTGGTACCCAGTAGAACCACACTGACTTAATTAGGGAGCAAGCCAGAGACTCCTCCTTGGCTACCAACTCACACACATCATTTTATTTTCTTCTAGGTGCCAACTTCTCTCTTCGAGAGCTGGGGCTGGGAGAGGTGACCCCACCCCATGGAACTCTGTACAGGACAGACATTGGCCTGCCCCACTGTGGCTACTCCATGGGGGCTGGCTCAGATGCTGATGCTGAGGCTGAGGCCGTCTTGTCCCCCGAGCATCCAGTAAGACTGTGGGGCCGGAGCACCAGATCCGGAAGGAGCTCCTGCCTGTCGAGCCGGGCCAACTCCAACCTCACCCTCACTGACACTGAGCACGAGAACACGGAGACTGGTGAGTGGCCCATGAGTGATGGATGGCCTAAGCTTCAGATTTTTCCCCTGCTTTTTAATCTTTAATTACAGTATCCATGTAACACTCCATCATTTTCTACTCTGGTGAGGAGGGTGAAAAATTGTTTCTCTCTTAGCTGTCAGAAGTCACGGTCATGCAAAACATTTGTCAATGAGCTACCAAAGCAGAGGCAGCCCCTTGTTACTGTCAGAAGAGAGAGGTAGCTAGATAGTTACTTTGTTATAGTATTGTTCCTGATGCGGGCCTTCCCTGAATATGTCACACCCCTAATAGGAGATCTCTTTGAAAATGAAAAAAAAAAAGAGAGAGAGATAGAGACACCCATGCATGCATACACATATATATAGTGACACAGTGAAGAAACAATTAAAATATCTTTACTTAGAAAGTTGGACTATTGGATGGCTGAGGGTTGGGTATGATGGGAAGCTGCCCTGACTAGACTAAAAGTTGCAGCCCTGGGTAAGGCACCATGGATGAATTCAGACACCTGATTGGTGAAGCTTGCTTACAAAGTCAAATTCTTAATGTGGAAGGTTAGCAAAAAGGGTGCACAAGAACCAATCAGCACTATGGCCATTAGAGGCTACATTTAATTTCTCTCTAGACTGTATTTGGCAGAAGGGTGCAGCCTAATTCAGATCAAGCATGATACCTATGAGGTCCAGCAATTTTCTGTGGGAGCTGAAGCCCCCAAATGGTCTACCTAGTGTTTGGATGTCAAAACCACTGTCTTGGGCTGCCTGCCTGGTAGGAGGTGTGAAACTTTGGTCGTCTGTACTTTTTAGAGGATGACTTCCCAGAGAAAGCATTTCATCTTTAGGTTGCCTAGAACTTTGAGTTAAATGTCTTTCCTTTCCTCATCATCTATTCTTATCATATTTCAGATAATCTTTCTGCCAACCATCCCATTTCCCCAGAAGTCATGTCACGTGATGAAAGGATGAGTGAAAAGTTGGTTCAGTAATACTTGAGCAAGGGAATATTAGGGAAGGGGGATGGGAACAGAGGGTAGAAGTCTTCCTCCTTGTTCTCCGTGTGTGTAGAACTTTCAGCAGCATTTCACCTGTGAGGTCTAGGCCTGTGGTGAGACATTCTGTTCTGTTGGGACGTGCTTCAATAGATGGGCCAACATAGCCCAAGGAATGCTAACATGAAAGTGAGGAAACATGATGGAATCCAGGATCTGAAACTTACTAGAGGTGTGACTTTGAACAGGTCACTTCCCCTTTCTGAAACTGTTTTCTCATTTGTATAATGGAGATTGTAATAATTGTACTACATACCTCACAGGGTTGTAAAGAGGGAAATGCTTTGTAAGGCTGAAGGGCTTGGTAAAAATAAGAATTATTGGTTGTTTTGTTTTTATTCACTCCTTTATTATTTCGAATGCATCAGAATAGCTGCAGTTGTGTAAAGAGTCAGATTCCCCCAAGCATTCAACCAAAAACTTGTACTGACTTGTTAGAGAAAAGGGGGGAAATAAGGACCAAATCTCTGAATGCTTAGCTTCAGACCCTAGCAATGAAGAGATTACTATGGCATACATGTCATATGGTAGTCTTCCTGTCCTGACTTTTGGAGATATGTGAATAGAGCAATGTCCCCCTGACACCTGTGGCCTTTTCAGTCCTTTCAACATCTCTCTTATCCAACAACGTTTTTTCATTCACAAAATCACCCCTTTAGTTGAGCCCTTCATGACCTGTTAACTAGATCATAGCAGCAGTCTCCTCCTGGATCTCCTTGCCTAAAGGCTTTCCCCACTCCTGTCCATCCTATGCACTGTTCCAAAGTAGTTTTCATTAAGTACAGGTCTGACTATGTCACTCCCCCATTCATTCAACTCTGTTGACTTCTTTTTGCTTCTTTGGAAGCCCTGCATAACCTGGCCCCAACGCATCTTCCCAGCCTCATTGGCCACTGTTCCCTCTCCCCCACTATGTTATCCAGCTACACTGGCCTTCTCTCCTTTCCTCATCCATCTTCCTTCCCATCTCTGTGATTTTGCTGACTGTCCCTCATGCTTGAAAAGCACTCCTTCTTTACCTTCACATATTAGAGTCTCTCGCTTCCCTTGAGACACAGCTCAGGTACTATCTTATGTAATATGCCTTTCCTGATTTCCTCAGTTGCTAGTGCCCTCTCCCCCAAACTACCTTGTGTTTACCTTGTATTTTACTTTGAATATATTTGTACTCATTTGCTTTATATTTATGCTATGCATTTTGCAGTTTGTACATGTAGTCTCTCCCCCCATTAGAATATCAACTCATTGACAGTTGGGATTGTTTCATTTTTCTCCTTTGTGCTTGTATCACCAATTCCTACCACTGAACCTGGTAATAAATGCTTGTTGAATCATTGATTGATTGATGGGCCACAGACTGATGCAACTGAAGGATGATATTTGAGTTACTCGGGTCCCATGTTGAGCACAGAAAACGGAAGACATGAGGGCTATGTGATAACTGACTTTCAGCTAGTGAAAGGTTGTCCCATGAAAGGCAACATGATAGAGTGGAGAGAGGGCTGGCTTTGTAGTCTAGAAGACCTCGATTCACATCCTGCCTCTGACAATGAACTGTAGCATGTAGCTGGGAGACTCAGTGTCAATAAACTCGTACAATATGGTGAAAAGAGGCATGAACTTCAAGTCAGAGGGTCTAGATTTGAATACTGGCTCTGCTGCATAGCACAGTGCCTGGCACAGGGTAGATGTTTAATAAATGCTGATTGATTGATTGATTAATTGTCACTTGGTACCTATGTGATCTCAGGCAAATATCTCAGTGTCCTTGGTCCTCAGTTTTTTCATCTACAAAATGAAGGGGTTGGTTGAGAGATCCCTTCAAGCTCTAAATCTATATTCCTTCTGTAAGTTGCAAATAAATTGTTGGTCTGAGTCAGAGGAGATTCCATATAAGAAAAGCTCAACAATGAAATCATAATCCATACCCCATTCCCCTCTACACACACACACACACACACACACACACACACACACACACACACACACACACACACACACACACAGCTTTAGGAAGAACAATTATTTATTCTCTTTGTGGTCTCAAAGGGCAGAACTAGAAATAATAGGTGGAAGATACAGAGAGGTAGGGGGTCATGACGGGTCAGACACAACTGAAATGACTGAACAAAAAAAAAGGGTAGATGTTAGCTTACTATAAAGAAAAATTTCCAGATACATCAAACTGTTGAATAGTAGAACTGACTGCCACGAGCAGGAACAAGTTCCCTGTCGCTAGAGGTATTCAAGTGAAGACCTGTCCGGGCTGATACAGAAGGGATTCCTATTCAGACGTGAGGTCAGCTAGATGATTTCTGAGGTCCTCTCCAGCTTACAGATTCTGGGATTCTAAGTGCAGACACTCCCTACGCAATGGGGCCAGCCAAAGTTTCTTTTCAGTATCATGCCTGATACTACATACCCTAAGGCCACTGTAATAACCCACAACTCCACCACCAAGAACAACTCGGATCCCGTCAGGTGAAGATGATCCTAGCTCACTTCCCTGCCCTATTGTTTCCCGTGACGAATTTTCAAAGATATAATCAGTATGAGGTGAGCTATACTCATAACAAGGTCAACGCTGTTCTCTCTTCCCTTAAATGTATAACCACTCTAGCCGGGTCCTTGTGGTAGAAACAAGGAAGCCAAAGGGGTACAGGAACCAGACAGCTAGCTTGACACGAAGACAACAGTATTATTTGTTCTTTTAAAGGCTTCTTTCCATGGAGCTGTAGTGACAAATGATCATTTTTACTTAAAGCAGTGACAGGGTGAAGCACACACCTCCCACGTTATTGTATGTTCATGTTCAGCTGAATTACAGCTGAATTAAGCTTCTGTTGGGTGATAATGACACGTTAGACAAGGCTGAAGATACACAGGAGAATATGAAAGTGGTTACCTGCTTCTTTTCCTTCTTCAAGCCCACATTTGTTGAATTCTCATAGGAGTTAGAGCTGGAAAGGCCTTTGAATATCAAGTCATCCAAACCCCCAATTTTAGAGATGAGGGAAATGAGGCCTAGAGAGATTAACAGATTTGTCCAAGTTTACACAGGTGGTATGTGTAGCTGAATGGGGATTTGGACCCACTTCACCTGACTCTGAAGCTAACATTCTTTCCATTTCACTACCCTTACAGTTGTTTTCTTAGGGCATCCATTTAAGGGGTAGATGTAGGAGAGTTAATTCCCGTTGCCTGGATTAGGCTCGGTTTGCTTAGGAAAGGTAAGACAAGTGAAGATTCAATGGATGAAGTTTTCCTTCTAGCATCTTTGTGTTTACAGAGACTTAATAGTACAAGGAGAAGGGGCTTTCTTCCCCAGGCGTGGAATCTTGAGAGCAGAGACAAGGGAGCTCCAGAGGGATGTGTTTAGCTAGCCTAGTCAGCGTCCAAGTTTCACTGTTCATAATCAGACCAGCTCAGGTTTGGCTCTTGTTTCATCCCCTGTTATCCTGCAAAGACCAATAACCCTTTACTTTGAGGACACCACATCCACGTAGATACAGTCGAGCTTCAGACCGCATCCAGTCTCATGGGAACCCAAAAAACCACAGCAATCCACAGAGAAGGATCAGCAGGAAGTAAATTCCCGGGTTTCTGTTAGTGAGAAAAGCCCCTAGTTCCACAGTCTGGATCCTTTCTCCCACCTGCAAAAGGCACAGCATCCTACAACACATTTCATGAGAGAGTCGCCTGCTTCTGTTCCACAGATCAGCAGGTCAGAGTTGTCTCTTCCACTGGCTTTTATTCTCCATCGGTCAATTGATTACATGGCAGGAAGAGTGAAAGAGAATGGCCTCAGTCACAAATGAATGAATAAAAAAATGAATGCAAAAGCATGTGCTTACTATGTGCCAAGTGCTAGGAATGCAAATCGAAGAAATGATGCCCACTTTGTAGCTTAGAAATACAAGTAGGAAAAGCCAAAGCTGATTTCTCTTAT